TAAAAACAAAGTAGGGAGATAAAACCGGAAATCATATTTAAAATGTAATAAAAATAAAAACGTATAATGAAAAAAAATCATCATTGACAATGTTAATTGAAAACGGAAAATAACTGTTTCCTGCACACATACATATATACATATGTATGTATATACTAGGTATATATGTAAATAGGTATTTGTGTGCTTTAAATATTGTTAATAATTTAAATATTATTTATAAGGTAAAAAACACAAATTTAAAACATTTATTATAAATTTATTGATTTTTTTTTCAGTTTGTTTTGTTTTTTTTTTTTTTGGGATTTTATCGTCTTTTAACTTTATTGTGCTAAATTTCTTGACATATTTTTATTTAAATTTGTTTATAATTTAAATTAATTAATTAATATTGTTTGTAAGTTTATTTTTTATGTATATTTAAATAACTACAATAATATGTATGTATAAGGTATAATAATAATATAAATTTTTTATATATTCATGATAGTTTTTCTTAATTTATTTTTTTTTTCATTTAATTTTTAGGTAAATTTTTGTAGATGTTTATTTAGCTGTTTAAATTTTATGCAAATTAATTTCTATTAATTTGTTTTATATTTAATAATTTGGTTGTTTATGAAGGTTTTTTTTTAAGGGGACTTATTAAAAATAATTAAAATAATAATATTTACTTATTTTTTCTATTTATGTATTAAACTATTATATTAATATGGTTGTTGTTTCTTTTCATATTAATTATTTAATTAAAAAATTTAAAAATTTTACACTCATGCAATTTTATTTAATATACACTCAAAAAAATATAAATATTTAATCAAGCATATTTATAAAAGTGAAAATTATATTATAAATGTTATTTGAAAAACAAAAACATATAGAAAAATAGTTAAATTAAAAAATAATTATGGGAAAATGTTGCTAATTTCGAGAAAAAAGGAAATATAAATAATGTGCAAGTTTTTTTGTTGGTAATAGATATGAAATTATTAAAATTTTTTTAATAAAATACCCAAATGGAATCTTTTTAAAATTTATCAATTGATTGTTTAGAATCGTTAATAATTTATCTAATTTTAGTTAATATTTCCATCTGGGTACACATATATTTATATTTTAATTGTTCACACATACATACGTATACATATACATATATATATACAACGAAAGCTTCACGTCTAAATAGTATTGAGAAAGAAAACATACATACATACTTAATACTAAATATTAGTTAGATAAATTGTTTTTAAATAAATTAGACATTAATGTTTTAAATTACAGCCATGTTTAGTAAAGTTTGTAAAAAAAAATCAATCTGTAAGAAAATTTAGTTAAGCATTGTCGTCCCTATGATACCCTACATGTCAAGTATGAGCTGATATTCATTAAATTTGTTGGAGGCGTTTAAAAATGTTACTATCCCAGCAAAAACATGACAATTACTAGTACTAATCTAACAACTTACTTTTCAACCAGTACTACATACTCTTTGCATTACTAAGAAGGAGTCTAGTAATAACTTACAAATAACTATAAATGTAAGTATTTGCGTTTTTTACTCAAACGTTTCTATTAGTAGACGCAGTGGACCTCGTGGATCATCGTCGGCAAAACTACTTATTAGTAAGCGATTGTGGCAACTACTTATTTAACTCCCTACTTATAAGCGAAGGCATTAAATACATGCAAGCAGTGTCATTATCGTGTTAAAACAATGACATTAATTGCTATTGTGTAGGTAAACAAAGAATGACAGATAAACAAGCAGCAGATATCAACTAGGGTTCTATAGTTGAAACGAAAAGTCGACTTTTCGACTTTTTGCATTTAGTTAAAAGTCGACTTTTCGACTTTTCGACTTTTCGACTTTTTCCATTTTATGAAAAGTCGATTTTTCGACTTTTCGACCTTTTTCATTTATTTAAAAGTCGACTTTTAGACTTTTCGACTTTTAGTATTTTATAAATGGTCGACTTTTCGACTTTTTCCGACTTTTCGACTTTTTCCGACTTTTTTCGACTTTTCGACTTTTTCCGACTTTTTTCGACTTTTCGACTTTTTTCGACTTTTCGACTTTCTTCGACTTTTCGACTTTTTCCGACTTTTCGACTTTTTCCGACTTTTCGACTTTTTCCGACTTTTCGACTTTTTCCGACTTTTTGATTTTTTACGACTTTTTGACTATTTTCGATTTATTTCGACTATTTTCGACTATTTTTTTACTTTTTTCGAGTTTTTCCGACTATTTTAGAGTTTTTGACCTATTTTCCACTTTTTTAAAATTTTCGACTCTTTTCGACTTTCTTCGACTTATCGACTTTTTTCGACTTTTTTCGACTTTCTTCGACTTTTCGACTTTCTTCGACTTTCCGATTTTTTGACTTTTTTCGACTTTTATTTACAAAGTCGACTTTTCGACCTTTTTCATAGACGATAGTCGAGTTATCGACTTTTTTGGAACAAAATAGTCGACTTCGACTTTTTTCGACAAAAAGTCGATTGTTCGATTATTCGAAAGTCGATTTATAGAACCCTAATATCAACAGTTGTTTGTTATTTTTATCAATAACTTGAAAATACAGAAAGGTGATACCGATCGTATGCATGTAGAAAAACTCTGGTACTGATGTTCATACCGAAAATGATAGCTTAGTTCATTCTATGATATTATCTCTCAAAATTGTTGAACAATGCTCAATATTTGATGAGCTGGGTTAGATACCAGCTGATGCAAAATGATCGACGGCGGCTGCTCTATCATTTTTGGTCGACGGCGGGTGCTTGTTATAAAATATAACGGCGGCAGCTAAAATATCGGTTTAATCTAAGCAGAGAAAATTAGCTATTTATGTGTTTGTTAGAGATAGAAGCCGATGTAAAATGATCGGCGGCGGCTGTTCTATCATTTTTGGTCGACGGCGGGGGCTTGTTATAAAATATAACGACGGCAGCTAATATATCGGCTTAATCTAAGCTGAGAAATTGTCTTTTATAGAAAATTTGAAAACTACTATAATAATGTCAATTTTCTGCAGAAAAAACTTATATAGAGACATGTTTCTATATAACAGACTATTATACAGAGATTTTTCAGTATAATAAACGCATATAAGGTCTATTTCAGAAGAAAAAGTTAAATTGAGCCGACAATTTAGACGCCGCCGATATTTTCTATAATAAGCCGCCGCCACCGACCTAAAATGGTTGCACCGGGTTGTATCTCTGCCACTGGCAACTCGTTTCAATTTGCCTATAAAAAGTGGCAACTTAGTTCAAATTTTTAATGAAAAATATAAGTCGGCGGCGCAGCTTACCAAAACTTGGGCGGCGATCAGTCGACGTCGATTTGAACCGAGTCGGCTTGTATCTCTGATTTGGACCTCCCAATTGAAAAGAAAAATAATATTTAAAAATAAATCATTTTTGTACAATTTTTAAAACCTCCAAAAGGTAAAAGTATTTTTCTTAGGGGGACCTTATATGGGGGGTAGGGTCAATTATACGATCCGATATACATATATTTTGGTTTTTATAGAATTCCTTAATGCCGAATTTCATCGCTCTACTAGTATTTGTAAGTCAATAAAGAGCGTTAAAGTAATTTTCTGAAGGGGTCCTTATATCGAAGCAAATTCCCCGGTCATTATGGACCAATTTTCATAAAAATTGGAAGAGAAATGTTTTTCATGTTTTTCATCGCTATAGCCATGATTTTAAGCCAGTAATAAGAGTTAAATAATTTTCTTAGGGGATCTTATATGGAGGGTATTATGGTCAATTTTATAGAAAGATCTTCCTTCGTAAAAAACTTGTTTATGTCGAATTTCATCGCCTTCTTGAGAATGGTATACATAAGTTTGTCATTCCGTTTGTACATCAAAAGGGTTATTCACCTGATGTTGGTGTTGTCTTCCCTTCTACTGACTTTAGACCAGTAATTGCTTTTCCTTGTCGCGGTTTTCATTGGGATTGATCCCATGCTGCCTGTCATTTCGTCAACGGGGCTACATTTTGTCAACGGGGCTTCTATGGCAAGAGATTAGATAGCTCGAGATACTTAAGCCATTTATTGTTGAATAAAATTTAAGTCATATTTTGTATGGGGCTTTATATAGGGGCTAGCGTCAAATGAGGCCCTATCATTATAAAATTCATCAGGGTCATCAAGGCTTGGTTTTGCGGCTTTTTGTCGAGATTCGAGTATATTAAACATAATTATGAACTTAAGAGCATTATTCGGGGAGTTCAGTTGTATGAGGGTGTTAATAACCATTTTCAATAGCCTTCGTCTGTGATACAATAAAATATCATTGCAGTTTGATTACAAAGTTTACATGGACGGACAGACAGACAGACATAACTAAATCGAAACAGAAAATGATTCCAAGCCGATTGTTATACTTTAAGGTGGGTATAAGACTAATATTATTATGCGTTACAAACATCAGCACAAACCCAATATACCCTTCCCACTAAAGTGGTGTAGCGTATGCAAATACTATATAGTATAAAAACATGAGACTGGATTACATGTGGTATGAGTGATATTTTAATTCTATATACTAATTATGGCAAGTATACGTTGTGGTGTACAACCATTGAGTAGCAGGGACATTATTCATTTCAATTTCATATCTTTTGTAAAAATTCCTTAATTGTTAAATATTATTTAAGAGATAAACATTTCTGAAATAATTTTAACTTTCGCGTTGGTAAATTGAGAGTAAGTTTAGCATTAAATTTAATCCTGCATTGGCTTCCATAACTATCCTAAGCCTCTTTGTTGAGTGATTGACCATGTAAGAGACATGGTCATCCCTGTCAGTTACGATTAGGTTCACTTCATTAACATTGAAAAGTTCGTGGAAAAGCAGATTTTTAAGCAACTAAACATGACCATAACATTAAATCATACATAAAGAAACGTACAACTAACACTGAAGTAAGTAAATAAATTAAATAGGAAAGAAAAATAAGTTAAGAGAATATGTTAAACTTACCCTTAAACTGCCACTGGAACGTCTATCGGCTGTGCCATAGTGTTGTAAACCGCCGGGACCAGTTATGGGTACAATACCACAACCGGAACGTATGCCTTGACCCAAAGTAGCTCTAAACATTCAACAAACACATCAAATGCACAAATCATAGTTTTTTTTTAATTAAATAAAGAAAACAACAACAAAACAAAAAGAGACAGGCAGGCAGACAGACAGACAAAAACAAAGACAGCCATTATTAAGTATGTAGCGGTGCACATACACACACACACATACATAGGGATAATATACAAAATAATGTGTTAAATATATAAAAAGGAGATTATGATTTTTAGTCATCAGTAAAAGGCAAATATAATTAAACCAATTTAAGTAAAAATTTTTAAAAGTTTCGCCGATTTTTAGAATAGAGAGGATTTTTGAATTTAAATTAAAGCATTAACACACACACACACATATATGTTGTTGCAGCATAGTTTTGGCAAAAACAACACAGATGTAAATAAAGTTGTTGTAGACACAAGTACCAACAAAAAAAGAACAACAACAAAAATATATATAGTAAAGAGATATAAAAACACAAATTGTAGTAAGTGTAAACATGTATGTATGTTGGTAATAGTAGTAAGTGTGTTTTGAATACAAAATTAAATTAAAAACAACCGTTAGAGCAACAGAGAACAAGAATAGTAAAAGAGCGAGACAGATAACAAACATAGTACAGAGTACAATATGCGGAAATGTTAGTTTTTTTTTACATGAACATTTCAATTGAATTAATTTTGTTTATGTACAAATAGAATTGTTGAGTGGAAGTGTGTGTGTGAGAGTGTATGTGTAGGAGAAGGATATATTAAATTGCGTTAGTGTTTGTTAGTCAATTGTTGGAATATTTAAGCAGATTTTAGCAAATACATTGTAGTTTTTTTTTGTTGCCCGAATAGTTTTCAAATATTTTGTTGAAATTTTGTCCATATTTTAGATTTTGCACAAGTGTTAGTTATATATGTATGTATAAGAGTGTGTGTTTTTATTGTAGTAATAGTATTTGTTGTTGTTGTTGTTGTTGCAAGCAAGTCATTTTTTTGTTTGTATTTTGTTTTAAACATTTAAAAATACATTTAAAATAAATTTGTTACATTTTTGTTTTTTTTTTTTTGTTTTATAAATGGAAATCATGATTACGAAAGTTGTTTGAAAAATAGTTTGAAAAAAGAAAGAAAGAAAAGAAGAGATTGAAAAAAACCATTTAAAAACATTAATTAACATTATATTCTTATTTTGCTTTTAACTAATATTAATTATTTTAAACATTCTTATTTGTTTATCTAAGAAAATTATTAAAACTTACAATTTAAAAAAACACTACTCTTTAAAAACATATATTAAATAAAATCTTGAAAAAATCGTGCCATTAACAAAAAACTTAATAAATTGTTAAAAAAAGTATTATTTTTTTCATCATTTAAATCTAGTTTATAAATATTTACTCTATGCATTTAATATATAAATATTTGTTGTATTTTGAGTTAGACTTATAATTAAAAAAAATATACAAATATTGGTCTTTCATTTGTATTGTTGTTTTGTGTGTGATTTTAATTACTTTTAAAAAATGTATTTGTTTTAAATTTTTTGTTGCTACAACACTTTGTTTATATTGTTTTAAAATCAAAAGAATTATTTTATGGAAGATCTTTAGATTGTTTAATAGTTTATTTAAATAAAAAGTTAATAAATGTGTTTTTTTTTAATTGCTGCACATTGGTCAAGTAGTCAAATATGTGGTTGTGGTTGAGTATTATTGTAATTTTTCTAGAATTAGAACTGAACTACAACTATAATAGAAATGAACTAAACTAGAACTGAACTAGAACTGAACTAGAACTGAACTAGAACTGAACTAGAACTGAACTAGAACTGAACTAGAACTGAACTAGAACTGAACTAGAACTGAACTAGAACTGAACTAGAACTGAACTAGAACTGAACTAGAACTGAACTAGAACTGAACTAGAACTGAACTAGAACTGAACTAGAACTGAACTAGAACTGAACTAGAACTGAACTAGAACTGAACTAGAACTGAACTAGAACTGAACTAGAACTGAACTAGAACTGAACTAGAACTGAACTAGAACTGAACTAGAACTGAACTAGAACTGAACTAGAACTGAACTAGACTGACTAGAACTGAACTAGAACTGAACTAGAACTGAACTAGAACTGAACTAGAAACTAGAACTGAACTAGAACTGAACTAGAACTGAACTAGAACTGAACTAGAACTGAACTAGAACTGAACTAGAACTGAACTAGAACTGAACTAGAACTGAACTAGAACTGAACTAGAACTGAACTAGAACTGAACTAGAACTGAACTAGAACTGAACTAGAACTGAACTAGAACTGAACTAGAACTGAACTAGAACTGAACTAGAACTGAACTAGAACTGAACTAGAACTGAACTAGAACTGAACTAGAACTGAACTAGAACTGAACTAGAACTGAACTAGAACTGAACTAGAACTGAACTAGAACTGAACTAGAACTGAACTAGAACTAACTGAACTAGAACTGAACTAGAACTGAACTAGAACTGAACTAGAACTGAACTAGAACTGAACTAGAACTGAACTAGAACTGAACTAGAACTGAACTAGAACTGAACTAGAACTGAACTAGAACTGAACTAGAACTGAACTAGAACTGAACTAGAACTGAACTAGAACTGAACTAGAACTGAACTAGAACTGAACTAGAACTGAACTAGAACTGAACTAGAACTGAACTAGAACTGAACTAGAACTGAACTAGAACTAGAACTAGAACTGAACTAGAACTGAACTAGAACTGAACTAGAACTGAACTAGAACTGAACTAGAACTGAACTAGAACTGAACTAGAACTGAACTAGAACTGAACTAGAACTGAACTAGAACTAGAACTAGAACTAACTGAACTAGAACTGAACTAGAACTGAACTAGAACTAGAACTGAACTAGAACTGAACTAGAACTGAACTAGAACTGAACTAGAACTGAACTAGAACTGAACTAGAACTGAACTAGAACTGACCTAGAACCAGTGATGCCAGGAGATTTTTTTCAGAAATCCCTACGCTTATGAGAAAAAATCCCTTTTTTCCCTACACCCACTTTTTATTTTCCCTACATTTTTCCCTACACTACTTTTTTCCATTTTTTTCAAAGTTTATCTTAAAAAAATACAAAAATAACATCAAAAACTAAAATATTAGCTCCGTTTTATAATATACATATATGTATGTATTTTTTTTAATTTTTAGGAATGAAATTTCTAGAATTTAAATTTAAAATTTTTTTTCTTTCAATTTTACATCATACAAATCTTCCAACCCTGACTCTTCAGTTAAGATTAAAAAAAACAATTGAAAGATTTATGGCAGTATATCGAATCGTGATAAAAATTTATTTTATGTGCCTCCAACAAAAAAATGTTCATAAAATAATTATTTTAAATAAGGTTTACTTTTGCGTTTACTTTTTGCGGTTTACTTTTATAAATTTTCAGAACATTAAATTCATTTTTTCAATCCTGAGTTACTGCATTAAGCCCCCGACTACTCTATCTATAAGGAGTCAGAATATATCGCCCTACAGGATTGGCATAATCCAAAAAATCGTTTCAAGAAAAATGGATATGAATATTTAATGACATTTAACTATTTTTTTAATAACTTTTAAACAATTCAAGGGGTTTTAAAAATCCAGATTCAGATAGTTGAGGTTAATATGTTTCTCATCTAAATTGAAATTAAATTTTTAGTTGTCTAATATTCACAAAAACGTGGGTTTTAGTTTTTATCGATTTCACATCGAAAATAATAGACATATTTGAAATTTCATAAATCTATATGAAAGATTTTAGTATGTCGCATGTTTTGAAGACCTTAGTTCAAGAAAGCCGAATTTTGGATTATTCCAGTCTTGTAGCGAAATGTAGGTACATATATTGTAGAAATTACAAGCAGAATTTTTACTAACGATACACTTAAAACTGATTTCATTTTTAATTTAAAAGTTTAATACATGAAAGAGTGTATTTTTAGTTGTTAAAAACTATGAAATTGAAAAATCCCTACAATTTGACAATAGTTAGAAATCTTTCCCTTTTTTCCTACACGTGAAATTTTTGAAAAAAATCCCTACAAAAAGGGAAAAATCCCTACACTTGGCATCACTGCCTAGAACTGACATAGAACTGACCTAGAACTGACCTAGAACTGAACTAGAACTGAACTAGAACTGAACTAGAACTGAACTAGAACTGAACTAGAACTGAACTAGAACTGAACTAGAACTGAACTAGAACTGAACTAGAACTGAACTAAAACTGAACTAGAACTGAACTAGAACTGAACTAGAACTGAACTAGAACTGAACTAGAACTGAACTAGAACTGAACTAGAACTGAACTAGAACTGAACTAGAACTGAACTAGAACTGAACTAGAACTGAACTAGAACTGAACTAGAACTGAACTAGAACTGAACTAGAACTGAACTAGAAGAACTGAACTAGAACTGAACTAGAACTGAACTAGAACTGAACTAGAACTGAACTAGAACTGAATTAGAACTGAACTAGAACTGAACTAGAACTGAACTAGAGCCGAACTGGAACTGAACTAGAACTGAACTGGAACTGAACTAGAAATAAACTAGAGCTAGAACTGAACTATATCTTAACACAGTCCATTTTTTTGTAAATAAAATTTTGGGAGTTTATTTTTTCTCCATTTTCCAAAGTGCTGTAGCATTTATTTAAGTCGTTTAATAACGACCATTTATTTTTTCTTTTAATTACTACTTAATAAATAATATTTAATAAGTGTAAATAATTTGTTATTTGATAAGTATTATTGATTGATATTTAATAAAATTGTGTATTTTTTTTTGTTAAATTTCTGTGGTTTTAACTCCATTTTTTTCTTTTCATTTAAATAAAGTAATTGTGCGATATTATTTAGTTAAATATTAATTTCCCTAGTTATTTCTTTAAATTTTGTTTTATCTATTAAATTGGTTTTTGTTTGTATTTTATTTAAAGTCTTCTATTTGATTTGAATGG